AGAGGTGGAAAAACAGCAACAAATGGGGTGGCTACCTGTGGCGTGTTTACAGTAACTAAAATTTTGAACGTGTGGAAAATCAATAATTGTGTGTTTGTGCCGCCGACTCGTCACTGTGGACTGTGTTAGCCTGTGCCAGTAGGCAAGATCGGCATGTTGGCGGGAATATTTACAGAAATAAAATCGTCAACGTAAACAAGCATCAGTTGTAGGGGGGAAGGGGCAATTAAAAGTCATAGGAGAGGGGAAGGAGGATGAGAGGAGAGGGATTGTGTAAAAATTGATAACTGTTAGGCTTGGGCGCCTACTGACACAGGCTAACACAGACCACAGTGGCGAATCGGCGGCACAAACACACAATTATTGATTTTCTACACGTTCAAAACTTTAGTTATTGTACACACGCCACAAGTAGCCACCCCATTTGTTGCTGTTTTTCCACCTCTGACGATGGACTCCTGCAGGAGCCCGAAAGCTCAAGATAGAATACAATTCGTTCCGGTGCTCGATCATGTGTCTTCTTTACCGGTTTTGAATGTTCAGCTTTTTAATTTCCTGAAAAGTTAATTTCTGTTCGCGGTATACATCAGTATATTTAAGGTCCACCGGTATAGACTGATGTATACCGCGAACACAAATTAATTTCTCAAAAAATTAAAAAGCTGAACAAAGTCCAAAATTCTTCTATCATTGATGTACTGAGAACCAAATCGAGGGCAATCATTGACATTTATATTTGAATAGGAATCTGACTCATCCCAGTCATTCAAATCCGCAGCCATAACAGCAGCTCACGAGGAGGTCGTGTTTAGGCAGTCAGTGCAGCTGCAAGCAGATTCCCGTATTGCAATGCTCAGAAAGCGATGTTGGCACGTAGGTTGGCCGTTGCGAGAGGTTCATCGCAACGCTCTTTTACCTGAAAGTCTTGTATGCACGATTGTGGTAGAAAGAGGACTTGCCCATGGCATCTTTATGCTCCGCGAGTCGAGTATTCTGATTCCGGACAGGCAGCAAGATTCTGCATCATGTGCGCCTCCAGTCTTTTGTTAGTCGTAAATGAAGGTACTTACTCTCGAACCTTCTGCCTGGACACTGGAGTGCGGATCGTAATACTGAAAGCGAACATAGGCTGGTCTTCCGTCTCGCTCGTATTACTAATTCAAGGTCGCCTTATCTAGCTCTTTGGGTGGAGGTTTCGTGCAAAAGCCGGTATACCAATATCATCAGCTAGCTGTCCACATTTGCTATTTCATAATGTTGCCATCAGCCCTTGCATGTAGCTGACCCGCCGGATGCAACCTTGTAGCACTATCACTGCTAGTGCGCAAATGTTCATTGGTCGGACTCGGGAGTCTATTTATTTTCGCAGCTGGCCATCACTGGAAACCGCGCTGAGTGCAGAAGCTAGGCTAACGGAAAAACTCATCTTCCCGAGTAAATTCCTCTACTGGGTTCGACTTTGAAAGTTACTTGCAAGCAAGGCAAGGACGAAGATTTGAATACAATATATCTACATTGGGTCAATGCTTTATATATATGGGTGAAATGGCCCACAAACTCTGCATATAGCGATCGTCTGAATCTTTATCTTCCGCTATCCAACTTTTTCACGAGGATCGCACAGCCACAAAGGTAACGGTTCAACTGCGCCCTCCTTGCCCGACGACTGAGGTTCGAAAATGTGATGCTAGAGGGCGAAATGATCCGGAGAGCCAACAACCAACACTGGCGAGCAACGGCACCGAGGACAGCTGGACGCAGATCACTACGAATGGAAATGAGCTCGAGGGCGTCTGTGGCCATCGGTGTTTGTCATGTCGCTTGGGTTTGACTGTGGTGAAGGCTGGCCATTCGGGACGCGGAGCATACCAGTCGTCATGAATTCTATTACAATTACAACTTAGCGAACTATGAAGCGCTCATAGGGACGCCCCCGTCAGCGCGGCCGAACTTTTTCACGTGGAGTGCTATGCTACCAATCTTTCTATTTAATATATACTTACGCAATATAGTTGTGCGGACCGTCCACGCCATACAAAACTGTCTACATTACAAACTGATCTTGTCAGCGATTGTCATCTGCTCGTATCCGTACGAGGGGCGGTTGCTCCGCTAGCTGAGGAAGAACTCTCCTAGGAGGAGGGCTGTCGGCCAGCACATTACTTCAGATCCAATCTCCCTGTACTCTGCGACCAACACCTTCCTCAAATTAATGTACTTAAGGTTTGCTAAGACCAAGACATTATTAAAAGGTGCAAGTGTTTATCAGCGATAAATCTCCAGCAGGATTTGATCGAATGCATCCGCATCAGTGCCTTAGGTGCGTGAGCAAAACTTATACCTCACTTTAATTTGAGGCTCCTTTGTCATTTATTTTCGGTAACCTATATAATGTCCAAGAAAAAGCCCTGCCCACCAACACCCGACTAAAGGCGGCGGTATATATTACAGCGCAAAAGCTTTTATCGTCAAACTCTCGCGGGGATTGGCGCTTCCGCGGTCGTATACCAAGCTAAGCAGTGTCAGTACTGTGATGGTAACGATGTTATGTCCTGTTTTTAGACAGTGACTAACACCAACCCAGAACTTAAAGATAGTCACGTAATTCCGCCTCGCCTTGTGGCCAACCGACCTGCTGGTTCCGTAAAGAGCAATGCCCACAGAAATTGTAACTTGCCCGCGAGTGCACGCTCATCAGAACTCGAAGCATTTGCTTAAGCTTGTTCTATTATCCGTCGCCATGGGCAGACTAAGAAGACCATCTAGACTCACAAAGAAGCTGCGTATCATTTGGATTATAGCGTCCCCAGGAACAGACTAATCTCTTTAGCTTTAAAAACATGCAAGTCTTTATTGTCGAGGTACAAAATGTGTGTCTATCCTGATCCTGTCAGGTTGGAACAAGAAGCGGTGGGTTTTCTAAAGCTCACTGATACAGTGCCTTGATACACCTTCCGATAATTTCATTCGACATCAAGTGTTTCGACACAAACTGTTCATATAATTGCAAAGATATACTGTGCATAATGTGCGCGGTTACCCACTGATGCCTTCGAAGGTAACTAAGACCGTAGACGCAGTCTGTAGAAAATAGTAACAGCTGTCATATAGGTTCATATTGTCTAAAGATAAGACAAAATAGAGCGGCGCAGTTGGTATATGGAAAGGCGAGACAGGTAAAAGGAAGACAGTACAAAAGCGATAAGAAGCAAATTTGTAAAATACAAAAAAATCAGTATTATGAGATTGAACATTTGGATTTGCTGTGCTTCTTCTTATGCGGCTCGTGAACGTCCTTGTTAATCTGCCGTACAGCATCGTAAAAAATCTGAAAAAGAAAGTATTACATAAGTAAAATAGGCAAGATATGCCGATGGCATGCCACACCGACATAACGAAGAAAATACGCAAGGTATACGTGTTACGACGGGTATCAAACAAAGTCGGCTTTCAGAACCTTCCCGGGTTTTTCTTTCGACAGTGGAAAAATCCCTTTGTTTCCCTGCCAGATAACAAGTCTTTTATTGGCAGAAAGCCATCAAAAGAAGCGTGTACCTGCCCAGACATGTTAAAGACTAGCAATTGATGTTGGTGGCAGATAAAACGAGATAAATTAGCAGGCCAGTGAACGTGCATAAACGTAGAGCTGGCTAACAGTACTTTGCCATCAGGACAGAAAAAGGTAAAACATCATAAAATAAGCTTGCCTCTGAAACGTTGATTCTGGACTTAGCACTTGTTTCGATGAAAGTGCAACCCCAATGACGGGCAAGCCTTTGGCCTTCTTCTTTGCCTACTGCTCTTTCATCTTCCAAGTCGCACTTATTTCCAACAAGAACAATGGGCACGTTATCGGAGTCTTTGACTTTGGTAATGTGATCTTTCAAATCTATCAAATCGGAGAAACTCGCGGGGTTTGTTATTGAATATACCAGGATGAACGCCTGGCCGTTTTTCATGTAAAGATCACGCATGGCCGTAAATTGTTCCTACCAATTCATTAATAAAGATAGAAAATTACAGTCCCGGCAGTATCAAGAATTTCTAAAATGCATTGTTGTGAGTCGATTTCGACACTTTTCCTGTAGCTGTCTTCGATCGTTGGGTCATATTTATCAACAAAAATTCCTTGCACAAACTGGACCGTGAGGGCACTTTTACCGACCCCTCCACTGCCGAGTACCACAAGCTTATACTCTCTCATGGACCGTCAATCTCCGACGGAACGACAGTGCTAGAAGCGAGACGACAAGAGACGGCCCTATTTGCAGTGTGACTCACCGACATCAGAAAGTAGTGCTGACCGCTGATTGGCAATCTACGTTGACGTGCGTCATTTGAATGTTTTACATACGGACGGACTATTTGTAACGTCCAATATACACTTAGATTCTAATAATAGTAAATTTGAACTTTTATTGTTCAGAGGGCGCCGGTAAAGTTGGGGTGCATTCCCAGAAATATAACGCAATTTTCAGTTAGAGATTTAGCGGAACTTTCGGCTTCTACAATAGAGTGTAGTCTTTAGTTTAGTACACAGCGTTAGATTCCATTAAGGTTATGGATAGTTTCCATATGCCTACGGACCTTGCTTTGATTCAAAACATGTTACAGGATATGCTTCAGCATAAAGAGAAAGGAACAGTTC